GAAGGTGTTTAATGTTTTATTAAGTGTCATTTATTTATCCATAAACCTGGTTTTGGGTTTAAATAAAAGCTTTTTCATTCTTATAATAAAATGCATATAAAAAATTATGAAATCGAACTCGAAGGTTATATATCTTTCAATAAAAAGAAAACATTCGACCTCACAGGGATTCGATCTAGCGGTCTTGTAGTGATTGCAGTGCCCCTGGTGGTAACATTTGTCTCTAGTTGATTCTAGCAACGAGCGAAGATAGGAAGTCGAAAGACCAGTTAATCTACCGACTCTGGTAACAGCTAGTATTAAGGTAAATGTAACTTCTGCCATCTTTCACCACTAGGGAGCGCAATAGTCAGTGTAACTCGAGCCTAACGACTGTAGAAGAACGTTATTATTCGTAGTGTGATGGTCTGTGTTGTTTATCGTGTAAAAAATACGGGAATCAGTCGGAGACACTTTTTAAATGGTTAATTAAGCAATATTATTGTTTTTTGAAGAAGATTTGACGCAAATGTAAGTATTAAACTTAAATTCCGAGTCAAAGACAAACTGCAGTCGCCATTTTGTTGTTTACGACTTTGTCTTCCTGTCCGGGTTAGGCCGAAGCGAACGTTTTCGGTTAGAGTAAAGCAAACGGTATCCAGCTAAAAAAGGTCTTAAACTTAATATTAATGAATAGACATAGACATATCTAGATGTAATTTGATACGCTGAATCGAATGGTATTAAAAAATAAATGTTACCCTAGGTATCGAAGATGGCGTCAGTCGCCAATTCGGCCGTTGCAACCGTCCCGCCGCGAAAAACAAAGAAAAAGAAAAAAAAATCAAAGTACAAAATATTAATAATTAAAAAACCTTACCTTAATGTTATCGTAGTTATCGAAGATGGAGGCAGTTGCGAATTATTTTAAATATTTACTAAAAATAAATTATGCCAGACGATAAATTTACTTACGTTCAATTTAAAGGTTAAAGTCCAGATACGTATACCGTCATTGCGGCTCATCTCTGATTCCAGCAAACAGAAGAAAGGAAACAGTGGAGACGCACGTTCTAACCTAAACTAACCTATTCTAATAAATTATCATAATTATTACCAACCAAATTATTAGAATAGGTTAGGTTAGAACGTGCGTCCTCGCTGTTACCTTTTGTTTGCTGGAATCAGAGATGACGGTATAGGTATCTGGACTTTAATCCTTTTTTTACTCTGATTCTTATCAGTTTTCTCAGACGTCTTGTTTTGTTTTTTTGTTCCGCCGCATTTTCTTTCTTCTTACTTTTTTATTGACAGGAGCAGCAACACGGTCTTGGGCTCTTCCCATAATGGTAATCTTCCAGATCCGGGATATATATTACTCAAATGTTGCACAAAAATGTAGAAACATTCACCTGGTTTTTTTTTTTTTTTTTGAGGGCCAATCGTGGTATTTTTTATAGTTGAGGTATACTCACTCGGCACTTGTATGTAAATCAGAAACACAACACCTTAATTTGCTGAGAAAAATTTAATGAAAAGCAAACATTTTCAGCCAAATCTGTTGGCCATCATCAGGCTAAGATATTCAAATATAAACAAAATAGAACAAAAATTTAAATACAAATAAAATAGAATAACGAATGAAATATATATATATAAATGTATAAAGAAAAATAAAATAAAATAAAAATTATTATAAATAACAAAATATGTATATGGAAAAATAAGCATAGGTTAATTAAATATTAAAATGTTATATAGTAATACATTATATGAAATTCAATGAAATGCAAGATAGGCAAAAAAATACTAAAATCAAGGCATTAAATTAATTGCTGTCTAATCGTTTGATTAAGTACTTCCAGGCCGAAGGCAACCCTTTCGAATCTCTAGAATTAATACATGCATCATGCAATCTGCTCTTATATATTTCAATTTTTTTCGACGCAAATTGCCAATGTCGGTGAATGTACTCGTTTAATAATACTTGCTTCGTCCCATTTGACGATTGAGCCCTCAACTTGCGCTAATTGCGATAGTATTGTGGCATTAGATCCCTTGCTGATATTGTATTTGTGTTCTTTTAATCTGACTCCTAAACTTCTATTAGTGACACCAATATAATTTTTATTAATGTCTAGTTCACTATTGTCATATGGAATCCTGTACAGTCGACCCCCCTATAAGATAGAGATACGTTCCATTCTCTAGGAATCCGATTTCTTACGAATCCTTCCAATCACAACCCGACACGTGTCAAGTTTACGGACTACGGCTGTTTGAAAGATTTTCTTCCATAAAATTAATCGATTCTAGACTAATCCGACTCAACATTTCCAAAATACGTATATATTTTTTGGGAATAATCCGTATAAACTACGCTATAAACAAAAAATTGTAGGATTACTTACCGAGTGTCACCATTCGACATTGCCATTGCTCAACATTGTTTTCGTCGCGGAACAGCTCAGCAAAGAGCGGCCGATTTCTAACAACTTATTTTTCTGTGAAAACTTCGTAGAACTTCGGAGACATCATTAATATAAATAATTTTAATCGCCGTTGAATAAGAAATGTTTCTTTCACAAGAAATGTATAAAATTACAGTACTGTATTAGACTTACGGTACCTAATTTACATACTGACAGACGATAGTTAGCGTAAAAATCTCCGTAGCGTGGCGCCACGCTAGACGGCGGAAATTATATATTTAATTATAACAAAGTTACAATAAGTTAATATATAATTATATATACAGTACCTAATTTATATATAATTAATATATAATTATATGTACAGTACCTAATTTATATATAATTTATATAATACTGTCCAGACGATAGAAATCTCTCCGTAGTTGGCGCTACGGACGGCGGGAAAGTAGTTTGGCTGCTTGATGATGTTTGAGGTGTTTATAGGGAACTTTTACTATTTTTTACGGATACCGGTAGCAATTTTTTCATAGTTTTATAGGAATCGTAATTATAGGGGGGTCGACTGTATACTCCTGCTCTTTTTTTCTTTATTTATGCTGTCTTTGTTGTTCCTTAATAATTTGTACAGGTTAGGAGCTCTCTTGTAAATTAACTTGGACTTTTTGCAGGCTGAGATTTCTTTAATGATGGCTTTTCTCTTTCTATCATATGTGAACTTTGTGATTTTGCCGAAATTGCCATTTTGAGCATTAGTTTTGTTTATTTTGTATTTTCAGATTAATGTTATCATATCTTCTTTGTACCCTAGAGATCTGGCAATATGTAATATTCTATTAATTTCTTTTTGCCTATCCACAAATGTATTTTTTATACATGAAGCTGTACATGTACGAATCTGATAGGTCTTCTGTGTAATGTTTTGGTAGGTTTTGTTTTTTAAGTATCTCCATAATCTTTTTATGTTTTGGGTATGAATCCCTGTTTTTGGGTTCACAAAATTCTCCGAATGATTAATTAACTGTCTTATGGGTAATTTCTATGCCTTCCAGGTCGTCTATATGGTTGTATCCCTTCCGTTCATCTGTCAAAACAGTGCTATTAACATTAATGTTACGATGAACTACTTTGCAAGGTTTTGAACATTTCGAGCATACATCAGCAACATGCTGTAATCCTAGTTTTACTGCAAATTTGAACCCTTTATTGATTTTGAAATCCAAACCCAATTCAGAATAGTCACATTCGAGAAGATGGAAAAAGTCGTGGGATTCCAGCAAAAACTCTGGAGGTAATGTCCAAATTATTCATTTGGAAGAAATTATTAAACAGAATATCTGATAAAATAAGTATTAAACTTTTAAAAATGTCAATTTATAATTAAATTAATCGAAAACGAAAAGAAATAACAATTTTACAACAAACCAACCATTGTCATGCAAATCTAACTTTCACACTCCTTGCATTGATTTAGTGGTATTAATTTGCATATCACACTGTGTTAAAATGCAGTGCCCTCTATCGCAAACATCACTTGGCAACCTGATACGAGATTACCAGAAGTGCTGCCATCTTCAATACCTAGGGTAACATTAAACAAAAATAGGAAGAAAAAACATTGTTTTTATGTATGTATTAAATAAAAGAAAATGAACTAATAAAACACAATAAATATAATAATAATGAACACCAAACATTTGTATTTCTAAGATTCTCAACTGTATATGTACTTTGGCATCCCCATATATCTTACAAAGAGTAAGAATTTGAATAATTCTATCAATAGAATACCGGTCCGATGGCAGGCACCATTTATTTTTCCAAGGTTAATTTATAGTAGGACATAGTTAATAATACATAAACATGATGTACAAAAAAAATTAATTCCAAAACTGTAATTTAATATATAAAATTGTTAATATTCTTGTGTAAAATAAATAATTATTAAACAATGCATACAAAATCTACAAAGTATAAAAATTCTTTATAAAAATATAAATCCCAAAGTCAATGTGATTTTTGGCATTGCATTTCATTGGCCATTGCTTCGTAATTAGGAGAATATGATGATATTCTTGCTCATGAGCAATCGTCAAGGTGTTCATCTGTAAGTTGTGNTAAAATAAATAATTACTAATTAATGCATACAAAATTTACAAAGTATAAAAATTCTTTATAAAAAAAATATAAATCTAAAAATCAATGTGATTTTTGGCATTGCATTTCATTAGCCATTGCTTCATAGTTAGGAGAGTATGATGATATTCTTGTTTGTAAGCAATTGTCAAGGTGTTCATCTGTAAGTTGTGATCTGTACTTTGATTTTATGATATTCATTGTCGAAAACAATGATTCACACAAGTATGTGGAACCAGAAAATGATTTTGTTTTATAGGCTGCTCTTTTCAAGAATGGAAATTTGTTTCTGTCAACTATATTCTAGAAATTCTCATCTGATAGATGGTATTTTAGGACAATGTCATTCTGAAGATCAAAATTTCTAGTTCCAGTTCTTGTCCTTACTTGAGCAAGCTCTGAAATGTATGTAGCTAGTTTGATTACATTTACTTGGTAAGTAAAGGACTGACAAAAAAGGTGATCATTGGCTCGATGATATTAAATTGTTTAAAGTGCTTTTCAAACTGGTTTTGAAGTAATTGAAGGTTCAATCGGCAATGTACTACAACGGGTTAAAGTGAACAAAAAACAACGTACCAGGAACCTGTTGCCAGTGTGCTTCTCGGTAAAAACAAAGTATTACAAACGTTTCAAACTTGTAAGTTTTTCTTCAGGTAACAGACGTCTAAGCGAATGCCATTCAAATTCAATTCAAATAAGAACACCATTAAGAATTCTATCGCATGTATCAATAGCGTCATTGACGCATGCGCCCCTTTGCTTGTTGTAAATTATTGTAAGTTCTTGTCTACGAGCACCTGCCATGCAGTTGACAGGGTGATTTTGTCTTTGTTGTTAATACAATTGTCGTCTTTTAGTGTAGCCATACATATGCACAGGGCCTCTAGCCATCTAAGGTGGTGTGTGTATTTTGTGGTGCGGATTACCTGGCCTGGCTGAATAACGGCTCTACTTCTGTATGTGAGGCATAGATGGCTGGAGCGGTGGTTTGCCTTGCATGTAGAATATTTGCCATGTGTTCTTTAATTGAAGGTTAATAACAAATGTTGACAAGTAAATTTCACCGTCGTCTATCATTTTTTTCATATTTGGAAAATGCACAAGGGACTTTATCTACAGATGTGATATCCAAAACCAGTTTAGCTTTAAACGACTTTATAGACCTTATCATTGCAGCTATATGTTTGTCCTTTCCCTGCAGCTCTAAGTTTAAACAATTTAGTTTTTCCATTATGTTTGTGAAAAAAGTCAAATCTGCTAGCCAATGAGGGTTTTTTAGTTCAAAAAAATTTTGATCTTTGGCATTGAGATAATTTTTTATTTTTTCAATTGAATTTACAAATCTAGCAAGAACTTCGTCTTTACTGAGCCAACATACTTCAGTATGCAGAATGAGGTCAGGATCTTCAGGATTTTCTAATAGGGCCTTGAAAAGGCAGTGTTGCAAAGGAGCTGCGCGAATTAAGTTGACTATTTTTGTAATTATTTTAATGACGTGTCCGAAGGGTAGTATTCTACCACACACAACTTTCTGGTTGATAATACAATGATACAACATAAATTTTGGAAATGATTCATTTTTTCTGCAGAGGGCAATAAATTTTTTGACCTTACCAACCATTGCTGGTCCCATCAGTGGTTATCGCAGACAGCTTCTGGAAAGGCATATCTATCAACTTTGCATATGTTATAAATATTTTATAGATATCTTTACCCGTTGTCTGTCCTTTCATAGATAATATTTTTAGATTTTCTTTTACAGTAAAGTCACTAAATACTATTTTCACCATAACTGCTGACTGTAATGTGTGATATGTCTGTAGACTCGACAAATTGTAGTGAGATCTACTCACATTTCCACATCACTCTTTAAGTGAGTTTGCATTTCCTTTGAAATGGCTTGTATTTTTCTTGTAATGGTGTTATCTGACAACTGTAAGTCTTGTATTGCTGACATGATCTCACGTTTGTTGGAAAATCCCTCAAATAAGCAATTGGTGCCAGTAAGAAATGCTTCTTTTAACAACTCACCATCCTGGAAAAGCTTTTTCTTCTTTGCGAGTATGTGAGAAACTTTTAAAGAAGCTGTTGTATAAAAAATGATGTTGTGATGATGGTGGTATGAAATGTTCCCGTTTACACGGTCTTAATTAATTAAAGAACACAGTACATACTTTCCTTGTAACAATAACAATACAATGATACTTTAATGTCTCCAAATCAGCGAGTGACTCTCTGGCACTCCACAATTGAGCAACACTCAGGCACCCGACAATTATTGGTAATTACAACACTGGTTCCTGACCAGCCACACAGCTACCTACTCTGGTTAGCTCCCCTGTCAGTACTGCCTCCACACACAACACTGACCCTACACACACCCAAAGGAAAGTGCACAAATTTTTCCTCTCACCAATTCTCCCTCTCTAGGTGGGACAATCTCTCCCACATTCTTGGGGATACTGTTACCTCACCCACCTGACGTGTGACAAAGCTGTGGACTGTCCATTACCACTTGCTGACATCCACACACCTGACACGTGTCACAACTGAACTAACATTTTCCCGGCTTGAACCTTCCAAGGTTCAACAAGTTATCTATACATACATACAAAACAACAACTTTTTTTTTACAAAATACAACTTCAGTTCTCCAAAGGTAGAACACCAATTTTCGATAAACTGTATTTAAATACACCATTTTTTGTTTTTACACTTACAACTCTTACTTTACAGTCAGACCCTGGGAAAACTTCTGTAATTCTTCCCACTAACCATTTAAAAATAGGTATATTATCTTCCTTGATAATGACTAATGTCCCTATTTTAATATTATCTCTTTCAGTCATCCACTTATTCCATTGTTGTAAATTATTTAAGTATATATTAATCCACCGTTTCCAAATGATTTGCGTCATTTTTGTTACACGCTACCAATGTGAAAGTCTATTGTCTGATAGAGATTTGAGAGCAATGTCTGGTAGCATGTCAATTGGTCTACCTATTGACCGTATCTAAAAGTAAACAAAGCCTGGGGCTGGTCACGTGATTGGACCTAGTTGAACTTCCGGTAGAACGTGAACGGTGTGTTAATAGTCGATGCGAAAGACCTTGTGTGTATCAGTTACAATCATTTCTGTTCCGAAAAATGTCCAGCGAATATTATAAAGGTTTAGATGAATTAAGCAGGTATAGGTATAAGCAAAAATTAATGTTCAACAAGCAAGAACTGCCCGATCCAATGGACGACGATTTAGCAAAAATGTTATTTCACGATAACGTGAAAGCATGGCCTAAGATCACGTTAGTAGATCTCTATGCCTACTTTGTAGACCAGCTCTGCTTTTACACAAAACAACAACTGAAAAATTATACTTCACTTGAGAGTTATAATTACCTAGTGAGTGGAAAGGTGAAAGAAATCACTGTTTACCCGTTGACGGATCTGAAGGTAAGAATTAAATTTGCTACTTTAGCGCCCGTTGCGAAACAAGTTGGAGTGTGAAATCTTTATTTATAATGTTTAGTAAATTTAAAATATACATAAACAAAAGATAATTTTTCATAGCTAAAGAAATTCTGAAGACTCTAACCTCTTGTTTCACAACCCGTGATCTCGAGTTTGTAAACAACTGCCCAAAACATTTTTTCCCTAGATTTGCATGTTAAAAGGAAAAATACAGTCTGGGCAGAAGAAGACGTTTCAACATCCCTGGGCAGTGGTGCAAATTAATGGAGTTATTGTAAGCGGTCACTGCACATGTATGGCTGGGTATGCAAATTTTATATTAATATTAGAATATTATTATTTACTGACCCAGATATAATTTTAGTCTTGGTGAAAGTTGCAGCCACCTTGGTGCATTACTTTTAACAATAGAAGCAACAGTGAAAGCTAATGAAGAAACTCCATGCACTTCTCTTCCATGTTCATGGAAGAAATTTAACAGAGAGGTAATAATGTTNCAGATATAATTTTAGTCTTGGTGAAAGTTGCAGCCACCTTGGTGCATTACTTTTAACAATAGAAGCAACAGTGAAAGCTAATGAAGAAACTCCATGCACTTCTCTTCCATGTTCATGGAAGAAATTTAACAGAGAGGTAATAATGTTGTGTAATGGCACCGTTATTAAGAATCATTATGTAAACTGTTTTTATTGTGTGATTTTTATTAAAATTATTCATTTACATAATGTAGGTTGAACCAAGCCAAATTTCAAATATTTGTTTTTCAAAATCAAAGCACAATAATCCATTCCTACTAAACAAAAAACAAAAAACAGACATGTTATCACATCCTCCAACTCCAACACTGTTNTTGTCACTAACTGAAAAAAGAACTAATTTTAATTGTACTTTTATACTATTTACGTAGACTGTTTATAAATAGGACTTTTTATACTGCTATAGATTCTAATTAGCAGAAGTAGAAAGTCTTACTTTTTGACTATACTTCCTCCCTCAGCTAATTAGAAGTTATACAATATAAGTCGTATTTATAAACAAGGTCTATGTGGACAATGTAAAAACAAATTTGAAATATTACGAAAATAAAAGTGAAAAAAATTAAGAGTCAATTCTACTTTTAATTACACTACCTAACATAAATATGTTTTTTTATATCTCCGGCGTTAAAATAGGCGATTCTTAAATAATTTCCTTTTGATTTTAAATGCCTTTCTTAAAATTTCCTAACACGCAAGACTGAAAAAGTACATTTCGTAGATACATTTTTGTATAAGATGTTCATTTTGGCGTGGCTTTCTTTCTTTATACACTTCGTCTCAAACGTTGGCAGATATAACAAGTTAAAAATAAACATTTTTAGCTAAATTCCGAATTATTCTTAATGTTTTTACATCATGTTCTATAATGCGAGAGATGGAAAATGTTTCGATCTCTCGCGTTATAAAGAGGTTTGCACCTTAACCGGCTGTTATATAGCATCAAACTCTGTGCTGTGCATGTACACTTGCTAAGCAACTTAAACATTAAACACAGCCAAACGTTTCAAAAGTTTACAATAAAAAATGCCGTTTGAATATTGATTTCCTCTGTAATACTTCTTACTCTCATAAGAAACTTGAATAGTCTCCCGGCATCACTGGATCCGTGGGACTTTGATACTTCTTCTCTATTGCTTGTTAAAGCCTTTTACAACGTTTCTCGATAAAAACGCCAAGAATTTTGAAGAAAATTGATCAACGAATCTGCGCTCCGATTTAAAGCGCTTTAACAAATACGTTCAATTTAGGAACATGCAGGTGTTAGCGGCTTGTTTCGCTACACTGAAAGTACTTTCTGTAAAATTATTTCCTAAATTAATGTGTTAACTCATTTACTTCACCATGGTAAATGCAGAAAATAGGTTATAATAAGGGCATCAATATCTGAAAAAAACGGTGACATGATGTGAAAGTTTCTTGCTAATTTTCGAAGTTTAAGCATCGTAGTTGATAAGAAACCGTTATTATTTCCTTGAAGATAAAAAATCATGTTGGGTAGTGCAATTATTCATTCGTGCAATATCTTAAAAACTACAGTTTTTTTCAAATTAATTATTATTTTGAAGATTACGTAAATAAAATCCATTCAAAATATGTAACTACAATAGACCCCACTATAAAACGGGTTCATATAGTTCGGATTCCTATATGACGGCGAAAAAATTGCGACAGTATTCGTAAAACACGCTAAAAAAACTATTATAATTCGGAAAAACGTTATCGCCGACTCGTGTCGCGACAGGATTGGTCGAATCTAGACCAATATCGAATATTGTACAAACCGTTGAGTCAAACCAGTAGGGGACCTACTAAAAACCATTTATTATTTAACTTCCATATAAATTTTATTTATATGAATGATGTCTCCAAAGTTCAGCGAATTTTTCGCAAAAAAAATAATTTATCAGGAAGCAGAGAGCGCCATTTAATGACAAGCTTCACGACGAAAACAAGCTTAAGCAATGGCGTCGTCGAACGGTGCACACTCGGTAAGTAATCCTACAATTTTTTGTTTANGAATGTTACCACTGCACTCAAATTTTCAACTTAGCAGTACTGGTCTGTTTATTGATGAGGCACAGTCATTTCTTGCAGCAACACCAGATGGTCTTGTTACATGCGACTGTTGTAGTTCAGCACTATTAGAAATAAAGTGCTTATATTCTAAGAGGCATTTAAGTGTCAGAGAAGCTAAGCCAGAATTTCTAGATGAAAATTTGCAACTTCGTGAAGAACATGAATATTACACACAAATACAAGGACAGATGGGGATTGCAAAAGTCAAGGAGTGTTTTTTTGTATGTTACAGTGCTAATGATGTACATATACAAAAAATTAATTTTAACCTGGTTTTCTGGGAACATGCAGTGCAAAAACTCTCATCATTTTATTTCGATTACATAGTAACTGAAATATTTTCAGAATCTGTTAAAAAAGAATTGTTGTTAGTTAGAAACACCTGTTTATGTAATGGAATGAAATCAGGAACTGTGATTTTGTGTAGTATGTGCAAATATGCTTTTCATATTAAGTGTGTAAATTTGTCTAGAACAAAACAAAATTGGAAGTGTGAATCATGCAACAGCAAATAAATACCTTTTTTTATTTATTTAATCAGTGGAGATTTTAAATTGCACAAAACTGCAACAACTGTTAATATTTTGTCAATTGTTGCTATATCAGCATCACTTTCTCGTTTGATCAATGAAATCGGCATCGTTGTTGAAAGTATTCTATAATTTTTCATTCTTCCAATAGCTCGTTCAACGTGAACTCGTATTCTTGACATTGCACGAGAGTTGGTAACATCAGCACCAGCCAACTGATTTTTACCTCTGGTGCTACATGGAACCAGAAGGCAAACAGATTTTGAGGCTAACAGATCTGTTATTTCAAAACCTCGGTCAGCTAACACTGTATCGCCCCTATCTAGTAAATCAAGTAGACCACTTTCTTTGGTAAGAACCTTGTCGCTGACTCTACCTCCCCATGCCTTAGATACAAAACTCACACAACCATTAGGAGCTATGGCAACCAAAAATTTAATGGTATTGTTGCTCTTGTAGTTGGAGTAAGTCTGACACCTGGCCAGCAAATTACTGGGTTTTTCAATAAAAACTTCACTATAGTCGATAATACATCTTATTCCTTCAAAGTCTGGATGCTTGTAGCAAGAAGGCAAGCACTTTTTGATTTCTTGTCTGGAAGGCCACTTAATCAAAAATTTTAAACTATAATGCAAAACTTCCAACCATTCATGAAAGATTTTGCTGACCATTGAAGATGGTATTTGAAACCGTACGGCAAGGTCTTCATTCAATGTTCCTAATCTCAACTTCATTAGAACTAACAAAAACTGCTCAGATAAACTCAAGTGGGTTGATAAAGTTGGTTTCCAGAAACGTTTCAAATAAGCAATGACACACTCAAAAATGTCAACACCATTTATTCCTGAATAAAAATTTAACAGCTTATCATCTTTTAAAATAAAATCTGTATCACTCATAGTCACTGTCTTCTGAAAGTAGTTTGCTCGTAACGTCTGGGTGTCCAATTTCTACTGCAATTCAGCATTTTCTTGTTGAAGCTGTTCATTTTTCTCTACCAACTCACAGTATAATTGCTTTGGTATTGTAATTTGTTCAACAGCACATTCTTGAGATTGCACTGATTCAACCACTGCAGCAATTTCATGGTTGTCATTAGAAGTGTCTGTAAAAAAAAATGAAAAAAACATCTCATAAAATTAAATTTATGCTAATTACAATACTATTCAAACTAGTATCAGAGCTAAATTTATACTAGTTGAAGTGCACAGTTGTTGACATACAGAAGTTAAGCAACAGCTGAAATTAACACTTGTTCTACTTGCTCACATATACAAAATAAAANTAATAAAATATTAAGTAATGTAGTTATTTTATATATTATACTTTCATAAATTAATATATATTACTTATTTAATAAAAAGATACAAATTTTTTTATTATTTAAAATAAAATTAAATTCTAATAATTAAATTATAATCTACATTTAGAATGATATAGAAAAAAACAGTTGGACTTAATAATGTTATCTTTAAGCCTTACGTTTCTAAGACAGAGACTTCTACTTATCATTATTTTTAAATAGTATTAATATGAAAATTTATTTGGAGTCTGACTCTTTGTAAGAGGGAGTTCGTTGAAAACAAATTTGCAAGCGATTGATAAGGTGACTTATAAATAAATTTCTTATTTTATTTAAATCTATAATGTTTTTTCATTGTATCTAGGAATTCAAGACATGAACTGTAGGTATCAAGGATTTATAAACAAAGCAATTAATACCATATTGTCTTGTTGACTGTGAACTACAAAAGAAAATAAAGACTTACGTTTATTATAAATCATGTCACGTTCTGTGCAGGGACGTTCACTGATGAGTACAGTATTTATAAAATAATAAACATTGTTCAAAACATTTGGTGGCAAGAATGCACGATTATTTATTTAAAATATGTGTGAAAAATAACTAACAAATTTTTACGCGTTTTCTGTCTTTGAGCTTAACAACCAGCAAAAAATTGCTTAACTTTTCCGGCAAGATTTAAGCCGAGTGAGACGCACTCTGTTATCTCATTTTATTTTAAAAACTTTTTATAATTTTAATTATTATAAAATGGCAAAAAGCTTAATTTTTACGGAAAGGATAAATCTTACAAAAGATGCAAATACTAACGAGCCATTATTTATTGTAGTATTTATTATTGAGAGTGTTTGCCTCTGTACATGACATTTCTCTTGTTAACATTGAAGTCGTGCCGGTTATCTATGTAATTACATTCAGGGGAACATTTTTGAAGTGATTTCACGTAAAGTCCTGTCTATATCGGAAGTTGCTCTACAGTTAATTAAGGCCTCTTTTCCCACATACCACATCTCGTCTCAATTTTCATCTAACACATTTTTCGAGATTAAGGAGAAACAAATAAACAGCAGACGGACGACAGAGGGAATTTGTAGGTCTACAGCTTTTTTCGAATTGCAGCCCAATAATGAGTAAAATCGTCATCAAGTCCGAACTAGTGGAGATATGACTAATAACCACTCTTTATTTCCTCACCCTTCGACCTTTAGCCATCAAAATTTAACAGCATGAATCCTCCTGATACACAAATCTCCCCAAAAACTTTGAAAAATTTTTGATAAAAAGCAAAGGAGTTAAGCTTGAATGAAAAGAAACTTATGACCCCTACATTCACTCAAACACTGTAACATCTATACATACAAACCAAACACCCGATTTTTCATAATTGAAGTTTTTGACTATTTACAAAAATATAAAATTTTCTAGTCTATCTTAATCCTTTTATATACAACACCAGAAGTAACAGTTAACATGGTTTTTTTTTGTTGAAGAATAACTTCTTAAAAAACAAAGGTAAACGAGTAAAAAGAGAGTCACAATGTTAAAAACGATCAAGTGTCAGCCTTCTGTTGTAGGTTCTGACAATTTACATTAAAAATATGAAGAATTCTTCTCACCATACTGTTCTTTTCCATTTTTTAACTGCTTCAGGCCCTCTGGTGGTAATTTCGAGTTATCCTACTTATTTGCATATTAATACAATTTCTGTAATAACTCAGGATATAATTCTTCATAATTGAAGTTTTTGACTATTTAAAAATATTAAAAATTTTATATTTTTAATATTTTTATTAAGAATTATATCCTGAGTTATTACAGAAATTGTATTAACACCCGATTTTTTTATTTCTTGACGTTTCAATGTATCCTAAGTCCAAAAATGTAAAACACTTAAAGGATCACTTTTGACGGATCGCCATACTATTCTTCTGTATTATATTACAGAGCCGGAAAAGTAAAAGTGTGTACAACGGAGGTAAAAGTGTAACTAATATTGTTGACAAAATACAAGAAAATGTTATTTAAAACTATTAGTATCTTTTTCTGGGTATCTTGAAATAATATTCTACACAAATATAACCACAATTTTACCGAAAATTTTTCATTTATTATCCGTTAAGATTGCCATAATTTTATGTTTTTTTATGTTGCTAAAGTTCACGAAATAAACATTTTGGCTGAAATTTGAAAAAAACTGTAGACCAACAAATTCCCACTGTCGTCAGTCCGGCTGTCTGTCTGTCTGTCTCTCCTAAATCTCGAGAACGATATTAGATAAATAAAAGTCGAAAGCAGAGTTTGAAAGCTTAGAGAATGTGGCTTGGAATACGAGCCACATTCTTGGAATCTCGTAATTATATATGAACTTCCGCTATGAGTCGGAAATCACATTATTTCAATTATAATATTTTCTCCTGGACGAAGTTATATAGATGGCCAGCATGACTTCTTTGATAACAGGAAAAGTGTCACGCACGAGGCCCAGAGACTACTAAACTTCAGTTCACTGTGACAGCTCGGCATTGTGACGATGTCAAAATAAATAATTGCTCGTTTATAATAAAAATTAATTCAAACGAAAAAATTGTCCATTCAACTTAACATTTGATATTCTTTGTTTATGTTGTTACATTTTTTATTACTACTTCACTTTTGGATGGCATTTTCCTTACGCTTTGTATCAACGCATCCATTCCAGTTCAATTGTTTAGTCCACCACGTGTTCAAGCACTTTACGATATTCAGAAAATTATCGCATATTTCCGGATTATCGGCTACTTTCCAAAATATGCCGGATTACCGAACATTCCTGATTGTCCGGTACCGGTTTAACTAACTTTCATTATGTTTAAAAAAATACAAGAAATTTTCTTTCAGATAATAAATAATTTTTAAANTAGTTGAAGTGCACAGTTGTTGACATACAGAAGTTAAGCAACAGCTGAAATTAACACTTGTTCTACTTGCTCACATATACAAAATAAAATTAATTTTGTCTTCATCGTGTTATATTACATTGACTTCAGTATGATTTCCAGAAGACAAGTAACATTTTAATCCTCTTTTAATACTTTAACATTTTTTGCCATTAAAATGCTAGTAAGTTTTTAAAATATCTGATTCATTAACCATGCTTTAATTACCAAATTAATAAACTAGTTATGGAAGTTACTAACTTCCTGGCTTTGAGAATGGTACTAAAAAGTTGAGCCTTGATTAACATAAATTCATAAATGCTTTATCTACTGGTAAGAACAAAATTTTTATCCAATGTCAACATTAAACATACCTGAAGCAATTATTTTTCTTCTTTTTTTTAATCGTTCGAACCTTGCAACTTTTTGATGAATTTGCTTCTCGTTACATATCGTATTTGGTAGAAATAATGTAGGAGCCCAGTCAGGGTTATTCTGCTCTGATGAAGGAGCGCCTGTAAACACAGTAAAAGCAAATGTTTATGTTTAAATTAAACGATCGCTAATTGTGAAGTTCGTAACAATCTTCATATGCTTTTAAACGAATTCTTGCATACCTGAAATGAAATGCCGCGAACACAGCCTACTTGAAGTTGAAGGTTGCCAGTTTTTTCGAGCGATGGCTGACACCCAAGCTCCGCGCTGAGGTTCTTGTTTTGGGAAGCGAAACATCTTAATTTTGGATAATAAATTCGTCCTAGACCGCA